ATTCAGGTTTGTTCTGCACAAGGGAGCACTCCTTTATACAATGGGGTGGGTGACATGCTTATTTAGTTGGGGCCCCCCCCCCCCCCCCTCGCGCCTTTTATAAGGACTCCGGGCGTTGTTAAAAGTTACCCCGCCCGCATTTTATAAACCCTAATCTGCCCCAGACCCCAAACTTTACTATAAAATGGGGGGGGGGGGGGTTAACCCCACGTGGGTATTTTGGTTGGGATAGCTTGACGAGGTATTGTTGTCATGATTTGGAGAGTTGTTCGGCTGAGAGGGGGCCATAAGAAGATGAGCGTGTACAGTACGAATAACTCCGTGTGAATGTGGGAGAGCGACGCCCCTGCATCGGCAACTGCATGGACAGCAGTGATGGATGCACTTGCCGATGCCACGAGTTCTTCAGAAAACTTGCGTAGCAAGAGCTCCGAGTCGGATAGATTTCCCAAGCGTTTCCAACAGTGTAAGCTTGGCCTTTTGTGCTGTGCATGCTGTCGGCCAAAAGGTCCCCACAGTGGGCTGGAGTCTCAGAGAGCGGAGAGCACGAGAGAGGAAGGAGAAACCCTACAAAGAAAGAAGCGGAGGAAGAGGAGTGCGTGTCTGTCGCAACTCACTGCAGGTAGTGCCAGACAAATTATTGGCGAGAGCAGCAGCAGCTTCCACTGCGGCGGAGGCATCCAACACAGTACCGCACAAAGTGTTTGGAAATGTTTGGGCTCCGTGAGAGGCAAGCTGTCCAAGGTCGCTTAAACTTCCTCTGCCACCAATTAGTGAAACTTGTGCAACGAAAGCTTCCTTGTGACGCCTCATATACAGTACAATGCATAGATTATGGATGTATGATTTCTGTTTTCGGAAGCCTTGCACATTCAGACCAGGCCTGAAAGCCACAGACGTTGTGAAACTTCAAAAGGCTTGCTTGGCATGAGTCGTGTGGGTGGCTTTCTGGATGACTTCCAGGCCCGCACTGTGTTGGGCGAAGTTCTGGGGTTGGATCTGGTCGTCGATCCCGATGTCGAGCACGCGCGAAGCTCAGCTTTTCTTCGGGCACTGCGGTGAATTGTTTGGGCACTGCTGTGATTTACTGCCTATCTCCATTGGCTAGCAATCCAACACACGATCGGTTTGCCTTGAGGCATGTCTGTCGCGTGTTTGGTGCAGGTAGCGTCCAGCTGAATCTTCCCTTTTAAAGAGTCAGCCCTGAGATGCCCTCAGCACTCTCAGAAGAGCTGAATAGCTGCAAAAGACATGAGGCGATTCAAATTGGGCTTGCTAACGCCTCTCTAAACTAATTTCGATGGGTCTCAAGCAACGGCAGGTGCATGCGACAGCTCTCCCTGTGAACCTGTTGATCGAGCTTTCCCCTCCCGGCTGTTCCAAGTGCCCTCCTTGCTAGAGTTGTTTGGCAACATTCGTGGTGATTACTTCGTGCGCACGGAGTTTTCTGGCACGCATCAGTTCAATTTTCTGTTGTCTGGACTGGGCCTTGGGTGACAAGCACTTGTGGATCACGACTTTTGACTTTTAACTCAGACGTTTAAGTTCCATGACATCTTTCCGAGCAAGACGCGGGAGATAATGCACTTGAGACAAGTAGGCAACAGGAAGGAATTGGTAGGGACAGGTACAAGGCACGTGGATAGTATACTGTATATAGTGTAGGCCAGTGTAGGCACAGGGAACCGGGCAACACGGGGAATCGCTTGGCATCAGCCCTGTGAGCAGGTATTGCAAATCCCCCGCCATGCAACCGCACGATACCACCTATACAATCCTGACATGGCGGTACTCCAAGCATGAAAGCCCCTGCAGGTTGAGCCCCTGGCACGTGTGTGAGCATCATGCAGCCTAAGGCTTTGACCGGAGACGCTCTGCAGGCTCTGTTCCTCCCAGCTGTATAGAACCATGTGCCTAGCTGATCAGGTGGCCCGACAGGCTCACCTTACAGAGACTTCGCTGGCAGAGCTGCCGGCAAACCCAGCTACTTGTAGTCTTGTAGAGCTTCGCCTGTGACACTCCGTGAAGCGCTCCGGGACAGGCTCGAGCACTTGTCAGCAGCACGTCAAGTTCACCGCATTCAGGATGCGCAGGCCTTGCAAACTGCTCATGCATGAATGTCGTTGCCAGTGCAGTTGGGGTTTGGGCCAAGCCTAAATCTTCTACATCAATGCCGGGAATGCTCAGCAGCAACCTCTGCAACTACAAGACATGGACTTACAACACATATATTGAAAGCTTTGCTTGCGGGCCATCGTCCGCGTCGTGAGTCGCTGCACTGTGCAGATGACAGCAAACGCTTAAGGAGCCCACAGTCGACAGGACCTTAGGAACCCATGGCGGCTGGCAGCCGCTTGAACCACTGCCTCATGGAACTGACGAAGCAGTGCCAGGATGTCCTCGAGGAGAGATCTGAGCCGAGTCACCTTGGTGCCTTGTTGAGTCTCCGCGCTGGCAGCTGCTCAGGAAAACCGGAGGCTGGAGACGGAGGTGCAAGAGCTGGGTGGAAAGCTGCGTGAGGCAAAAGGAGGTCCGAAGGAGCTTGGCTGTTGGATAGCGTTCCTCCTTGTGTGATTTGTGATGACGAGCCTTCTTGATGAGAAACGAACCGCAGAGTTCAGCTCAGGAGTCGTTGGAGCCAGAGGTGCTCGAGATCGATCATCCCTTTGCTCCAGGCACCGTCGCAGCCACTCCTAGTTTCGAGCTGACAGCTGACCGCAGCAGCCTGACAGCTCATCATGCCCCTTTGCAGAAGCGGTTTCCAGAACGACCAATGGCCCACGTGTATCCTTCGACCACCTTGTTTGCGACTTGCCTGCGTAAATAAGCGTGCACTTATACTGGAAGAGGCTGTCGTTTGAGGCTTGTGAAAATCCGCTGTCTTTTGGACTTTGACTAGGGAAGCCGTGTTGACCTTCACAACCTATGACCTTTGTTTGCAATACCTCGTATAGGGCCATTAGTGCACTTCGCTTGTATAGCAACCATCTGAGACGCACTCGACTGCAGACGTCTTGAGTTCAAAGCTGAAAAGTGGCCAGTTGTCCGCGCGGTTGATTTCGTAAGCTGGCAGACGTCTCGGAAGGCTGCGCTTGAGGGCACCGTGTCGACACTCAAAGTCTTTGTAGTTGTGTCTTTTCCGTTTGGCTTGACTGCATGCGAAGGCACAAAGCCAGCTTGGGATGAATCCACTTCCAAGTCTCCGAGCCCCACGAAGGCCAATGCGAACAGAGTGGCGCGGCAGCAGCATTGGAGAATAGAGCTCCGTACGCGCAGCGCTAACACGCCCTCGCCTCCAAGGTAGCTTTGGACTCAGGCGCAGATGAGGGACCACCGGAGGTGGAAACATTGTCTGGTTTGAGGACTCCCCATATGATGAATCCTTCGGCGCTTCAAGTAGTGCTTCTCTGACCTGTCAGGATTGGTATGTTGAGGAGTCCCACGGTATTCCCCGGAGAGTGACTTTCACGCAGCTCACGCGCTGCACGGTCTTGGCAGCTCCAGCACTGCATGCTGATCATGTCTGAGGAAAGCACCCTGGAGCATGCCAGAGCTACTGCAACTGATCCGTGGAGAATGCTGTGCAGCACCAGGCACGGGTCCGCAACAACCCCGATATGCCCTTGGCCGAAAGTTGTGCACAAGACAACATTCAAAATCCACGGCTCTGAAAAGACGACTAAACTGGTAGCAAGTGCCACAAGTGGCCGGCAGCGCTTTGCTTTCAGGCCGCGGAAGCATCGTACAACGCTTCGCCGATGGTATGCTTTTCAGGACCATGTGCGTACTGGCCATTGGAGTCGCTTGGAAAGCAAGGGTTTGCTGCTGTACATAGCACATAAGCCGCCCATCCAAGGCGAACACTGTTTATATTGGCCTCCTGGCAGGATCACAGCATGTATAGCCGGGATCCTAAGTCGGCACTTCACGTCCAGCTGAGGATATGTGGCAGATGCCCACCTAACGAACAGCTACAACCGTATGATGGGAGTCTTGGAGACAGTTGTCTTGGAAGTTACGGCAATTTTGGCAATGATCCGGAACACATGCCGACTTGAATGTGACCTTCGGCACTACTGCCCAGGACTGGATCATTATCAGCCTGCTGTCTATCCGGACATTCTTTTTGCAGTGTGGCCCCATGCTCGAAACGTTGATTCCCCTTGATCCAACAGGGCTTCAAGCCCTTCCAAGCCCCCAACGCATAGCATCCCATAGCGCCATCGCGTCTGGGACTGGCATGGCCCCTCGGCCCCGCAGCTCCGAGGTTCACCTTGGAGCTGATGGTGCGCATTCTCGCAGAGAAGGTGTCGTTCTTTACAGGTGAAGAGACTTAGCTGTAAGAAAGTAGGCGCTTCTGCTTGCTGCCCAAGTCGTCGTCCAGTCAGATGTTGAGGACATGTGGTGGAACGTGTTCGATGTCTTCCTGGCTACATGCTCGGTTTTTGGTTGGTGTTCCTGTGTGCCCTTGCATATGTTGAATGAGTTTTGATGACGCATCTTCAGGTTTTGAACGCCATCATTGAATTGTCGGCCCCGGAGGGCGTGATAGATCTGCCGCAGCCTAAGCTGCTTCAAGCTTGCCGGTGCATATTGCTGGCCTTGCAGCTGTTCAGAAGTAGAGCTGGAATAGTAACTCAAAGCCCAAGCTCTCCCAGCTTTGTTCGCTCGGGACTGCAACGCTAATTGCTGGCTGTGTGAGTTCGCTGTTCTGCAAAACGGAAGCTACAGCTTCGCTGCAAAGGACGTCTCCCCTCCCCGGCTGCTGTCGTGCCTGTACGCCCGATGCGTAAGCCGAGGTCGTTACTGCGAGTCTTCCGCGTCTTCCGACTGGTCCGCGTAGTAAGAGTGGTGCGAACAGCTCCTCGACTTCACGCTGTGATAGCAACGAAAAATACAGATAGAGCATGCCAAGAAAAGTGTGGTGTCATTTGCCATGAGGTGGAGACTCTTGACTCTTGAGTTGGGTCATGCTCTCATGTTGGATGATCCCAAGATGTTCCAAGGTGAAGGCTTTGAGGAGCTTGCGTACAATGCTCTTCGCAATGCTGAACTCCTTCTCTGCGACTTGGGCCGACCCACTGGATGCTGACAACAGTGCTACACCACCTTCAACATGACGCTTGAATTGTTTCGCCAATGGCCGCCAAGGCCCTTCTGTGGGCCTTCGTTTTGATCGGCATTGTCATGCAACATCGATGCATCAAGCCCCATGTGGAGCCTTCGAGGGATGCAGGAGTGATCACATCGCCCCCTTGCTTAGGTTCGTCTTCAGCGTGATTTTTGATATGGCGATCTCATACTCTTATGATTCAATGGATCCTAGCAGCAGTGGCGACAGAGCCGAGGTCGAGAGGCCGGGCGCATAGTTGCAGCATGCGAGCAGATGCGAGCGTGCTGCTGGCTGCTGGATGCCTTTGAGGATAAACAGGTACTTCTCCACGCTCTTTGACACGCGACATGCCAGCAGTGGGGCATTGCTGTGAAGGTGGCTTTATCGTGCCTGACCATGCCGAGGATGGTTGCTCTTTTCTGCTCCATCACTGGAGGAAATGACTGGTGGATGTATGCGGAACTCTTGCGAGGCATTTACTTTGGAGAGGTGTGTCTTGGCTTTTGCAAACCCAAGGTGTTTGTGAGGTTTCAGTGCTGCTCATGTCCTGGCTCAGGTATTTTGTGCTTTTTGCCTTCTACGTCGGCTTGAGCTCGGTTGGCGTCTTGAATGTTGTCTGGCCCTCAGCAACGACCTTGCCTTGGTCTCGCCCCTCTGCTAAGCCGGGCTCTGCTAAGCGCTAAGGTAACAGGGATTTTTGTCGACAGTGCGGTGTGCACTCGCACAGAGGACTCTTTTGAGCTCCGGCTCCGGGATTTCCGCGCGGGTCACTTTCATGCGCCTTTGAAGTTCACAAGCTTGCAGCTTTCGGCAGGATGAGGTGGTGGAGTCTTGGACGGAAGACCAAAAGAGAACTGCAGAGGAAGTCAGGAGAATCTTCAAAGAGGCCATGCCACGCAATTTAGCCTTCCGCCGTCAGCTCACACTTGCTATTTGCACAAACCTGCACCCTGCAGGCAGATCGCGGCTCAATCGCATAAGTGCAAGGACTCTTGAATGCATTTGCCGGCAGAGGTGCCATGTCATCCAAGGAGACATGAGTGGTTCCATGACATACAGGGAGCTGGAGAACCATTTGCAGAACCCCTGGGTCAAGGCATACTTCTCGGGTGGCTCTTCTGCAGATCAGCTGTTGTTCCTAACTTCGCATTGCCTGATGAGCCCTTACATAGTCTCAACTTCGCGTGCTATTGAAGAGTAGCGTAAGATTGGCATAGGCCCGAGGCCGCATTGGCTATTGCTTTCCCGGGCTCCCTGTCCTTTCCCCACCAAATGCCTTCCCTGCAACGTTCGAAACTTTATAGCTGCCAGATCGCAGTGGTGAAACGAGAACCAAGATGCTTGACCAGTCCAGCTCGCAGAAAAGAGTTCCAGGACCATCCTTGCTGCTGGCTATGCGGACCCAAGCAAAAGCATCAAGAACAAGTAGGTGTTCCGAGCAGAGGGGCTGGAAAGTTGACATCTTCCTTTTGAGAACCTCTTCTGTGTGGTACAGCAGTTTAAGGCAATCTGAAAAAGATTGTTCCCTTTTAACATCCATGAAGAGCCGCGAGATGGGAATCTACTACTACGTAAATTCCGATCCGAACGTTTCAGCAATGCCAATCCGAATTTACAATGGCTCCGAGGGGGGTAGCAAACTTGTAGAAAACATTCCAGGCCCGGCAGCAATTGATTTGTTCTTTGTTTGTTGGAGCTCGGCTCCCCACAAAGCCGCCACCTACGCCACACCACCCCCAGCCGCACAAGTAGCATCTGTTAGTTGTCCGGCGAGTTGCTTTGCACTTCAGAGTGGCACACTCAGTCGCGTTGAGTTCATGTGTTTCCTTCTAAGAGACGTGTGGCGTTGCTTCTGCTCCGTGATGGGCTATTGTGATGTTCCAGCGATTTGGTCAACGCCAACGAGCCGTGCTGCATATGTCATACCTTTACCAGGTATGGATATCGATGCCAGCGAAGCAGTTGGGCTCTGAGCATCGAGTGTGCTGTGGACTTGCAACAGAGAAGGAATATAGAAGCTTGGAGATCACTCATTTGACCGAGGCGATCATCTTCACGCTAATGGATTCGGATCGGGACAATGCCGACTGCTTGCAGTGCAAAGTTGCAACCAACTGTAAGCTACTGGCGAAATGCACGAAGCTTCGGACAGGCTGCCACTTGCTCGTTTGAACCCGGATGTTGTTGATAACGGTGATGACCATGATGTAGGTGATGCGGGTGATGATTGCAATTGCGCTGGCAACGAAGATAGTGGCAATGTTTTTGCTGAGAGTGGTGTTGGCAGCGGCGATGGTGGCAACGCTTCGACAGCACGTCTTGGTAAACGTGCGAGCTGAGGAAGTCACGATTGACGAGTTTGTGGACGGAACGATGAAGCTGAAAGGGTCCCGCCATTCAATTCTCTTGACGGATGTCAGCTAGTGGAGATGCGTCCGGGAGCGAACCTACCTTGCGAGGCATGCGAAGAGTATCGACATATTGTCAGTCATGTACGACAATGCCAAATTTCAGGCAGCTTTAAGCATCGGCGCAGTGCCGGATCTGCGACTCTCATGCCGGAATGTGCTCGACAGGCGAAATTCAGCATCTTTTGCTCACACGTCGAAGACCAGCTGGTCGACATGAAGAACCTCATAACCCCAGGCATCAGCAAAGTTACTGCGCATCGTAATACCCAAATCTTTGCAGTGCTAGGAGCTGGTGACAAGATGGAGAGGTGCCGGTCAAAGGGCAAGAGTGAAGGGACGGTCAGCTTGCTGCGCGATCGCCTTTTCAGGATGTATCGCCCAGCGAACCAGCAGGTTGATTACGTGAAGTGCTTCAACAAGCTGCTCGGCAGAGTCAGGCCAAGCCTTCATCCCGTTGGCTTTAGCAGCAAGAAAGAGTCCTGAAACAACCTTCTATACGGCCAGTATGTACAAGTGAAAATACCAACAGCTCATGCATGAAGCTCCAGGCCCCAGGCACTCCCGAGGCTATAGAACGTTGAGCCTCACATACATTGGACACGAAAGTGATGTGCGGAAATATCGCAGCAGGTTTGCGCCGCAGACTCATGGGCATAAACAATCATTGGAGATATTCCTCATCCGACAAGGAATGCACAAGTTGTCGCTCAACAGGCGGGATACTGCCCATCCAGGTTTGCCTCCAATCTTCAAACACGGGGCAGTATCGCAAAGCATGTAGGAATGTTTGTTCGCCAGCCCCGCATAAGCACGGCTGCATCACTTGAGAAGCATGTCGAGAACTCCTCCCATTGGATGACCCCATTTCTCCAACGTCCACTCTCTCACCACAAACGGGCTTAAACGAGACCCATGCACAAAACAATAGGACTCTAGGCGCAGTTGGCGTCCTCGAATGTACCACATCGACTGCACTGCCACACATTCCTCGCAGAACAGCTTCCAAGCATTGCGACACAGAGCTGGATTTACATAACTGCGCTTCCATCTGTGAACCTTTTTGAGCGCATGGTGAGGTTGCGCACGGCCGATCTGGGCCAGACAGCAGACCCTGCTCCAGATGATTTGAGATGTGATCCAATTCTTCCAACCCATCATGGCTAGCAAGTATATTCGTTCGCGAGGACAGCTGAAGGCTTTCCCGCCTTTTTTGGACTCCTCAGAATGTTGGCTCTGCGCAGTGCATATTGAAGGTGCACACTGAGGATATGCAACTTACTAAATGTCTTTGTCGTACCGTGGCCATAGCATGCATGCAGTGTCACGGCTGCCATCCATCATTCGATACTAGCGGCTAACGAATCACCTTCCGATCACTAGTCACGCTGACCTGGGGAGATTTATTTTCAAGCGGTTGGATTAGTTTGGGTGCAGAGTGCAAAAGCACTCTCCGCCCCTGGTGGAATTGTCAGCAAGCGTCACCGGGCACGCATTGGTCCGCAGCAGGTCTCGTGGCAGATGATTTGGTACGCCCGCCGGGATACCAAACACTGTTTCGACAGGAAAGAAAGGGCTGCGATGCGGATAGGAGTCTATGCTTGTAGCGTTCAGCTCAAGGGCCGAGGCAGAAACCTATGCCTTCACCCGAGCTGCATTAGGTCCCTAGGTGAATCAAGGCCAGACGGCGGATCCCAAAATCCTGAGTGCATTGCGTTTTTCTCAGCTTGGCATGATAAGCAGACATCCAGAGAGATGGTCTGAGTAGCCGTTGATCTCTTGAAATGTGAAAATTCTTCATGGTTCTACGCGGCTTGGAGCCAGGAATGTTCTGAAACCAGCTGTGCGCGGTGTTTGACTGAGAAGTGAAGGGTTTGAGCATTTCTTGCATGGTCAGAATCTGCATGTGGACCCAGGTGGTGGCTTCCTTTCTCGTCAGCAGCTGCCTTCCAGGAGGCCGTATCCAGGCCATCGAGGTTCAAACTGAATCAGCATGTTGATCAACAAGATCAGTCGCATCAGAAGCTCAAGCATGTAACGGCAATCAGCATGTTCAAACGATGGCTCCAAGTATGCTGCGTCGTGTGATTTTGGGGCTTCAAAGCTCCTCGCATGCCTCACGCACAGCCTCTTCAACTTGTACTGTGCGTGCTATACCCGGGCTCAAGTTTCCTCGGAGGGCTTCGGCATGTGTCAAGAGCGGGTTTCAAAACCGGGCGCGATTTGGATAACATGTGTGTGCAAGAGCTGCTGCTCGGAACAGTCAACTTGCGCCCTGCCACAAACCTAGCATGTGCGGATGCAGTTCTCTCACACGAGCAAAGCGTATTGAATATCAGGACATTTGCAGGGGCATGCGACACCCGATGGTTTCCACGAGCGTGCCCGACCCAATGCCACGAATTTCCAGTGCCTAGTTCTAGCCAAACTGTGCGGACGAGGCATTTTTTGTGCCGTTACACTACTTTGCTAATGCTGGTGATCCCCTTCGTGGAGAATTTCCACGGTCCCCCCCTGATGAAGCCCCGAAGTGTCATATGATTGGGTGCACGCCTACGCGTTCCGTAGGTCAGCATGCTTAAAGCACCTGTGGCTGCACATTGTCTTCGAAGGAAGATGTCCTGGCAAGTCAAGCTCCGACGGCTAGCAAAAAGATCCGGCTTGAAACTCGCCTGTCCAGCTTGTCCTAGTTCTCTTCTCGTTGTTCCGGCTGCTGACGGGGTGGTTGAGTCTGTCCGAGAAGCCTAGTCGGCCTAGTGGTTAGGATTCTGTAAACACCTCCTGGACATTTGCAAACGGCAAGCCGGGCCTGGAGCCTCTGCATGGAAACAGGCCTATTCTTTCCTAGGTTTTCCGGCACGACGACGTCAGCAAAGCAAGAGAATCACAGCATGTGAGTATAGAGCTTTCGTCCCGTGGCTGTCAGGTGCTGACTACACACGACCAACACTGTGTGTGCTGTCAACAAGAAATACTGGTGATATTTCTCGATTTCCTCGTAAATGATCCACAGCCTGTTGCTGCAGGCTTCCGGAAAGGCAGCAGGATCGAGCCATAGCTCCAGCAGCCCATGGTCATGCAAAGCCCCTGCTGGACGGTGAGTAAGCTGAGGTCATGCAAGAGCCACTGAGAAAGCGTGCAAGGTTCAAGTCTTGACACGGTTTTTCCTTACAGTTTGGCGTATCGAATGCCTGAGTGAGAGAGAGAGAGAGAGAGAGAGAGAGGGAGAGAGAGTTTGGCTATGCAAGACAGGTTCTTGAGCTTCGTGCAGCGGGTGGCTGCCAAAGGACCCGTCTATGAGAATTGCAGGCCCGCGCATGTGGTGCAGTTTTTTTCCGTCAGAGCTTTATTGCCCTATGCAGGCACTAAGGTCGAGGAATTGGCTGAGTTGTGTTGACTTGGGATCGATCTGCAGATCCGACAGATGCAATCTGAAAGTTCTGCGCACGGTCCCACAGCTGGTTGACATTTTGTCCCAAGCACTCCCAGCAGACGCATGCCTGACAGGATTCTAGCCCCAGATGGCCAAATACTGTGCACTGTTGACAAGAAGAAGCTGAACTGGTATGTGGGGTTCTGAGTTCTGGGGGCAGCTGATAATTTGATGTTGAAGCCTGTTGAAGGCCAGGCTGGAAACCCACGCCTGCCCGAGACATTTTGAGACTGTTGCCTGGCACTTTCCAGGTGAGGCGCGGACTTGCCCGGTGCTCGCCTCATGGAATCCGTCGTGCATCGTCACTTATCCTCGTTTCGCCGACGGTCTGAGGTGCGGCTTGAATATGATTGTGCTTACTTAAGTGTGTGCGTTTGGTGACTGGCAGGCACATCCAGGCTTTTCTTGAGACCTAACGATGAATTGAAAGAGGTTTCTCGTTCTTCCGAGGTTCGAGGACGGCCTGCCGGGACCCCCGGGCGGCCGTCGTGGCTTTGACTCTCACCGTTGCCACATGTGCGATCAGTTTCTGAGTCACAAAACTTGCCTGCAAGCCAGCAAGATGCCATGCAAGGACTGACTGCATACGGCTTCTCTTTGAGCCCCGTGGTCGTTTCGGCATTCGAAAGGAGCTGGGGCAAGCTGCTCAGCTTGCACGACTTATAATGCTTCTTAAGTGTGACGTGTGACGCTGACAGAACGGCTAATAAGCATCAGCGTCCGGCGGCAGAGTTTAAGATGCGCTTATGCGTGCGGTTGTCGAGATTATCACTGTCGGCAGAGCATGGCACAGTGTGTGCCCCACCTCTTTCAGCTGCGGATTGTTTTGCTGGTTGCTCTTTCGGCCGACAAAAGACAAGAAACAAGAAAGTACCGACCGTGCGATTTAGGAAGGCTTCATTGTGAGGACAGGCTCATACCTGTACTGGAATCTGGACGAAAGCACAGCATCTCAGGTTGTGCTCTGCGGCATCAGTCAGAGAGCCAGACACGACATGAGTCTGATGTTCTAGGTCGTCTGCGAATGTCCCTGACGAGCACATGCAGCAGCCGACTCCTTAGTTGAAATTTGGTCGCAGCTTCGAATTTGACAACTTGACATGCAAGCAGAGACGACGAAGTCCCTGACCAGGCGAGAGCGATTCTATACGCCCGGATGCCAACAACTCCGGGACGTGGTTCGCTACAATGCCAAAGCTTGAGCAGGTCTGCCAAGGAGAATCGCTGCGTGGTTTGTGGCAGCGATGTCCATTTGGCCAGATACAACCTCGTGTCTGGGCCATGGCTTAGCGCAACGCGATGGCCTGCCTCTGGAGAACGAGCACCGTGTGGGTATTTTTGCTCTGAAAAGCCTTGTGATGAAAGAATTGAAGCAAACGACATAAGGACACAGCTCTTTCTTCATATTAAACTACACTGGCATTAGAAGGGAGATAATAAAGAACTGAAGCACCAAGATCGTGGATTCCGTGCTCAATTTCTAAAGATATAAACGTACCTCTGTTTCCTTCTTACGTTACCCTTTGTTCAATCGAATGAAGATAACGAAGAGAGTTCTTTATTAAATTTAATCAAAATAAACATTCATCATTTCCTTCACTCATTTCTTCTTTCACTCTCCCTTGGCAGTTAAGTAATATGAAGTTAGCCGGGTTTCGCTTCATTTCCATCTCCTCTTTGTG